TCCAGCTGGGCTGCTGCTGGAGTGCCCAGCTAGGGAAGCAGAGTAGCGGTGAGCAAGTAGAGGAGGCTAACAATGCCGGCCAGGCCGGTGAGGACCCCGAGCCTCAGGGGCAGGTACTCTAGGGAGCGCTCCAGCTCGGCGTGCAGAAGGATGACCTGGCGTTTGGTGATGCTCCACTCGCCCGAGTTGTCTAGAACGTGGCGGGCCATGCGGGCTTTGTCCTTCAGGGGCAGCTGAGCACTGATCCGAGCCTCTGCGTCCTCCAGGTTCAGGTTGTTCCGTCGCATCAGGCGTACCAGCTGCGTTTCCCGTTCGCTAAGGACCGGGCAAAAGGGCAGATCAGGCTTTGTAGGCCCCAGCCTCCCTCCCGGCCAGCAAGTGAAAGGGGTGGGCAGCCCCTTCTCGCAAATCAATTTAGGGTCCCATAGACAGGGAAGGGGGCCTGGAAGCTCACAGGCTCCCCCCACCTCACCCTGCGCTGTGAGGACTCTGGTAGCATGATGGGCTTAACATACACAGGGGGAAAGGCTGCAAAAGCTGCTTCCTGCCACCTGGGGCCAATCCGCTTTACCACCAGACCTGAGGTTTCCTAGTTATAAGATGGGAGGGTTTGATCACCTACATCGGTGACCTTTACTGGAAGGCTGTGCCTGCAAGCTCAACGCTTTCTGCACTTCCCCGGGGGCGGGGCCTGCCGCATCAAAAATAGCTTCCCAGGCCACCACGAGGCCCCTCTCCCTGCCACCCACCCCCACTCCCACTCCCCATATTTAGAGCAAAAGGACCCTTCGGGAATGGTGGCTGCTGTGATTGATGCCACCTGGGAAGAGGGACGGGCAAGCCCAAGAGGCTTCTAGTGGAGCAAGGACTTGCAAACTGGACGTCCCAGTCCTTGGGACAGGACGCAGCACCGCACATTAGGCTGAACAACCCCAGTCTCCCCGCTCCAAAGGGAATTCAAAGATAGTTCTTAGGCCCACTATGGTGTTACCCGGGTCTCTCCCCAGGAAACTCCCTGTCCTGCCTATGACTGCACGGGAACTGCCCGCTGTACTCTAACACCCCTCTAGCTCCATGACCACCCAAGCCCCTCAACGGGTACAAAGGAAAAGGGCTGCAGCGGCTGCTTTCTGCCACTGGGGCCTTTGCTTTGCCACCAGGCCTGAGATTTCCCAGTTATACGACGGGATGATAGATCACTATAACTTGGTCCTCTCCTAGGTGTGGCCTACACCAGAGGGCCTCCTGGGATGTAAAGACAGACCTCAGGACAGATATGATCTGAACACTAGCCAGTTCCGTTCCGATTCCTCTCAAAATGCAGAACAAAACGCTGCAGAAAGTCATTTCTGGCTGGCTGATCAGGGAGACCTTTCAGAAGAGACGGCATTAGTAATGGCCTTGAAAAGTAAGTAGGACTCTGATTGCCTTTGTTATGGGGACAGCGTGCTGTCAAGGTCATGGGGCCAATCCCTGCCTGGCTGAGAACAAGAACTATATCCAACCTTAGAACTATACCGAACAAGAATCTCTCCGGTCTAGGGCTGGGAAAATGGAGATGGCTTAGGGACCCCTGAGTGCACATCCTTTGGAAGGTATGGCCTAGACCAGAGGGCTTCTTAGAATGTGACCCAGAAATAATCCCATGTGGATAGTTTAAGGATTAATGCTATTTGTAGTAATGAGATTTTTACCAAACACATACTGGTATTCCACATCATGCTTTGGCAAATGCCTCATACTATTTCAAAGGCACCAGGATTAGTGTGGCAGGTAAAGGAATCCATGAGGGGAACCTCATTTGTAAATTTACATTGTAAAGTGTAGATCCCTTTTATGAAAAGCAAATAATGACACTCATTTACTTATATCTCTGGCATCTCTTCTGAGCCAGACACCCACATGTGCCAAAACTGGGGCATGAACCGCACCCAGGACTTTGGCGAAGGTTCCTTGGCTGGTAAGTGGGGCTGGGGGGGTCTCCAGGAGAACGGGAAGAATCTGCCAAGCCCCATTTATCTGCCCGGAGCCATAGCTACCTCTGCCCTTAGCAAACAGACCAACCTCGAAGGAAAGTACAGGAAGAGGCCCTAACCGGTTTGGCTCAGTGGATAGAGCATCAGCCTGCAGACTGAAGGGTCCCAGGTTCGATTCTAGTCAAGGGCATGTACCTTGGTTTCGGGCACATCCCCAGTAGGGAGTGTGCAGGAGGCAGTTGATCGATGTTTCTCTCTCATCGATGTTTCTAACTATCCCTCTCCCTTCCTCTCTGTAAAAAATCAATAAAATATATTAAAAAAAAAAAGTGCAGGAAGAGGAAGGCGGCAAGGGTAGGTGATTGCAGATGCCATCTCTTTTCTCACCTGCACGCAAGATCCTTTTCACTTGGATCCCTTGGTACAAAGTTCCAATTGTATTAAGACTCCAAGGCAA